TTACGTAAATATTATTTTACAGGATTTATTCAATTTATTAAACACACTGTTATATGGTGCATACTTTTCATAAAATTGATTTAAAGATAGTGCTGTATTTATCATGTTCTATCGAATTGATTAAAGACAGCATTATTATAACAATTTATTAAATTTATTCAGAGATATTGTTATTCATATACTTTACAATTTATTTAGTCTATTTAAACACAGCATTATATTCTTCATAGTTTATTAACTTTATTAATCGCACTGCTATATTCTTGCCAAGCCACCCCTAATTCTGTAAACAAATGCATGTTATCGAATAAAATCTAGTAAATCTACCGTGACCACGTAAACTCGTGCGCAAAATATCAGGTGTACATGTCTTTATTAACTACACGATAAAGTATACATAAAATACGCACGAAAATCCTATCGAAATCGATATTATATTATAAACATTATGCTACGTGGACGCCATTTTGGAGAACTCATGGTACCGGTCCTTCGAAAAGATCGTGCTGAGATTTCTGCTTTCGTTTTCGTTGATCGTCGAACAGCTGGAATTATCTGTTCTTCTGACTTAGGGTACCGTGTATCCGTATCCGGTAGATGCAGGTGTATTCGCTGTTGCCACTGTTCGTGTGAACCTTTAATTCGACTATTTCGTACGGCTTTTTCTGCTCCTTCTGCGAACCAAATTGAAAGTGCGCGTTGTTCAACGATCGCCAATAATTTGTTAAACATTTTTGTGGTTTTCTTTTCTAGTTTTATTAATTCCTACGAAAAATCGGGGTTTCCGAATTCTCTAATTAAAACGTATGATTCTAATTTAAACGAAAATAGTGATTTTGAGAATTTAGAAATTTTGTAGTTATTTATTATGTGGTTATTTATTCTGCAGTTATTTATTATGCGGTTATTTATTATGTGGTTAGAATCTTACGTTAAAACGTGAGATTCTAATTTAAATGAAAATAGTGATTTTGAGAATTTAGAAATTTTGTAGTTATTTATTATGCGGTTATTTATTATGCGGTTATTTATTGTGTGGTTATTTATTATGTAGTTAGAATCTTACGTTAAAACGTAAGATTCTAATTTAAACGAAAATAGTGATTTTGAAAATTTAGAAATTTTGTAGTTATTTATTCTGCAGTTATTTATTATGCGGTTATTTATTACGCAATTATTTATTATGTAGTTAGATTTTACACAGTTATGTACTATGTAGTTATTTTTTATGTGGTTATTTATTATGTAGTTATTTATTATGTAGTTATTTAGTTATTCAATTTTAAACTCATACAGCGAATTCAAGAATTCAGACATCTCGATTTGGAATTTTTTAATGCACGTTAGGCGCAGATCGCGATTTTTGGAGGGATTTTTGAATTCGAGAACGGCGAATTTGAAAATTTACCTGGGTCTCAAAATATTGTATAGGTGGGCCACTATTGTCGTACATAAATTCACCGAAGAAGAAAGGATGTGTGTCGTCCACACAATCCAGCCCCTAAAAATGGAACAGCACGATTCGATTATTAGCACACTGCAATACAATATAAAATAGATGATTCATAATAAATAATACAATATATAATAGATGATTTTTAATAAACAGTACAATACAAAATAGATGATTTATAACAAATAATACAATACAAAATAGGTAATTTATAGCAAATAATACTATGTAAAATAGGTGATTTATAATAAATGATATAAAATAGGTGATTTATAACAAATAATATAAAATAGGTGATTCATAACAAATAATACTATATAAAGTAGGTGATTTATAACAAATAATACAATACAAAATAGGTAATTTATAGCAAATAATACTATGTAAAATAGGTGATTTATAACAAATAATATAAAATAGGTGATTTATAACAAATAATATAATATAGGTGATTTATAACAAATAATATTATATAAAGTAGGTGATTTATAACAAATAATATAAAATAGTAATATAATATAATATAATAATAATATAATATAATATAATAATATAAAATAATACAACGTAAAATAGATGATTTATAACATTTATAACAGATTTACCCAAAGGGAAAAGTTCTTCGGCGCGGTGCTCGTTTCTCCCGTGGGCGATATGGATTCCGGAATATGCTCCAGACTGACTCCGGAAACAATGACAGAGCCGAGCAACTGTATCACAGCGCTACCAGTGCTGCCCTTAAACGCCCAACACTCGCCCGGAAGAACGCCAGTCTTTAAAACAATTAATTACACACAGGTAATTTATCGCTTTACCAACAATGAGTTTCTTATTCCCAAAATCGTTCACATTCAAACTGTCGCAATCGCTTAAAAAAGCATCGTGCGACAATAAATCTGGACTCATTTTAAAGCTTGAAGCACCTACTTTCGCATACCATTGTTCATTTCCATCTAAAATATCTTTGCGAGACAGGAGTGAACGTTTCTGCACCCTTTCGCAGCAAGAACAGCGAGGACATATTTTTCTCGAGAATACTACATATTGTACCGTCTCTACGAACTCCAGAAAATTTTGTTCGTGAGTCGATCTACCATGGTTTTGAAGATCGCAACTTCCACTTTAAAATGACATGAACAAATTTAATCTACGATTTGTTTTCGTCGCTTTATGAACAGGTACGTGGTACAAGGTTGAGTGATGTATTATTGATAGTTGACGGTGTAGTTCTCGTTAAGACTTGAATAGAATGATACAAAGAAATCGTAGTTCGAGTTTTGAGACGTCATTGTAAAGGGGAAGCTTCGATCTTCAAATCTATGGTAGATGGAATTGTCAGAAAAAATTGTTCATGTTTTCAGAGACGGTTCGGTTTTTAATTGTCTCAAATGTGTTGAAGCGACGAGTCTTCATTTATTTTGTCTAAATTTCTGTGATCGCTGTGTTAACGGTGATGTGTTCGATCGTCGAAAGCAAAACTGATTTCTCACAACCTGAATGATAGCCTGAGGTGTGTTCTGTTGTTGACAAAGCGGGATCCCGAAGAGTTTCAACACTGGAGCACCAGCCGAGTACGTTTCCGTGTTTCTTATCGAGAGAATGGCGCCTCCTGCATATTACAAAACAAATTCATTTAGTTAATAATGTACTGGGCTAACATTCTGAAATTTTCTCGACATTTTTACAAACAACAATAGCGATAACAATAGCCACATTGTGTCGAATTTAATTTTATTGTATATCCATAAAATCTGCAGATTAGTGACGAATTCACTATAAAATGGTAAGAGTGCGAAATAACGAAGTATAACGAAGCTAAAGTGACATAAATGACAATATACATAAACGATAGAAGTAATAAACAATATTGAATCGAAGATACCACGCTTCGATCATAATGTCTCAATCATTTGCCGCTTTGAAAATTGCCGAATCTTTTTGGATATAATACTCTGTGGAAGATCCTAATCGAAATCGATATTAAAGTGTAAAAAAATACTTAGGCATAGGAAACCTGAACTTTGGAGAGCGTAGTCCGTTCTTCCGGTTTTGTCAGCGTCGTACGTCTGCAATTCGGTTCTCACCAAGTCTTTTACCATATTGGGGGACATTGCCTTCATTCCTGGTTTTTAGCAATAATTCAATTTGAAATAAATAAATTTATAATAATAAAATTCGCAGTGGTTCAATTTGCAAGGTGTGAATTTGTAACATGCTAAATTTGCAGTAATAAATAAAATAAATAGGTAAAATTGTAACAATAAAATTTGCAATACAGTAAACTTACGATATCAAATTTGCAGTAAATTAAATTTTCAACGATTCAATTGGGAATATATTAAATTTTCAATAATTCAACTGCAAATACATTAAATTTTCAATAATTGAATTGGAAATATATTAAATTTGTAGTAATCGAATTGGAAATATATTAAATTTGTAGTAATTGAATTGGAAATATATTAAATTAATAGTAATTGAATTGGAAATATATTAAATTTCTAGTAATTGAATTGGAAATATATTAAATTTCTAGTAATTGAATTGGAAATATATTAAATTAATAGTAATTGAATTTGTAATAATTAAATAATCAACAGAAGCGCAAATTCCAGAATTTGTTATTATTACGTTTATATACACTACAGTTGCAAACTCAAACCTTAGAAGATTTAGAGCAGACAATAAACAGAAGAGTTATCTAAAGATACTATTCATTTAATTACAGTCCAATATCATCATTCGTCGCATTATAATATAATTTGCCAATGATTCCAAGGAATTATGGCACCATACCTTCGGACACCTCGTTCCTCAGATACTTAATGGCCTCGGCCATTTTCGGGATCACGTGTCCGACTTCGTTCAACTTATTTCTCAAGTCGTCGCGCGTCTCCATCACGTTCTGCACTTCCATCTGGGCAAAGATCGCTTGAAGATACAATTTGCAATGTTTGAAAACGTGTTCGATCAGCGACCAACTAATTACCGATAATGTATTCAAATGAGTTCTCAGGGTCACTAAATCCGATCTGATTACTTTGAAGGTACTGCTGGCGGAATATTTGTCACAGACGTGGGACACGGACATTGCTGAAAATTTTTGCAAGGCAAGCATCTCATTCAGGACTAATTGAATTAGTTAGATAAGGATATTAATTGTTTTTTGAACTCTATGGACGCAAATGATGGATGGAAACAAATGCTAATTGTTGGCTCAACGACGAGAATACTCGTCTTGAGTTTCTGTCTAATGACGAGTATACTCGTCTTGATTTTCTGTTCGACGTCGAGTATACTCGTCTTGAGTTTCTATTCTACGAGTATAATTGTCTTGAGTTTCTGTTCGACGACGAGTATACTCGTCTTGAGTTTCTGTTTGATGACGAGTACACTCGTCTTGAGTTTCTGTCTGATGACGAGTATACTCGTCTTGAGTTTCTGTCTGATGACGAGTACACTTGAGTTTCTGTCTGATGACGAGTATACTCGTCTTGAGTTTCTGTCTAATGACGAGTATACTCGTCTTGAGTTTCTGTTTGATGACGAGTACACTCGTCTTGAGTTTCTGTCTAATGACGAGTATACTCGTCTTGAGTTTCTGTTTGATGACGAGTACACTCGTCTTGAGTTTCTGTCTGATGACGAGTATACTCGTCTTGAGTTTCTGTCTGATGACGAGTACACTTGAGTTTCTGTCTGATGACGAGTATACTCGTCTTGAGTTTCTGTCTAATGACGAGTATACTCGTCTTGAGTTTCTGTTTGATGACGAGTACACTCGTCTTGAGTTTCTGTCTGATGACGAGTATACTCGTCTTGAGTTTCTGTCTGATGACGAGTACACTTGAGTTTCTGTCTGATGACGAGTATACTCGTCTTGAGTTTCTGTCTGATGACGAGTACACTTGAGTTTCTGTCTGATGACGAGTATACTCGTCTTGAGTTTCTGTCTGATGACGAGTACACTTGAGTTTCTGTCTGATGACGAGTATACTCGTCTTGAGTTTCTGTCTGATGACGAGTACACTTGAGTTTCTGTCTGATGACGAGTATACTCGTCTTGAGTTTCTGTCTGATGACGAGTACACTTGAGTTTCTGTCTGATGACGAGTATACTCGTCTTGAGTTTCTGTCTGATGACGAGTACACTTGAGTTTCTGTCTGATGACGAGTATACTCGTCTTGAGTTTCTGTCTGATGACGAGTACACTTGAGTTTCTGTCTGATGACGAGTATACTCGTCTTGAGTTTCTGTCTGATGACGAGTACACTTGAGTTTCTGTCTGATGACGAGTATACTCGTCTTGAGTTTCTGTCTAATGACGAGTATACTCGTCTTGAGTTTCTATTCTACGAGTATACTCGTCTTGAGTTTCTGTCCGACGACGAGTATACTCGTCTTGAGTTTCTGTTCGATGTCGAGTATACTCGTCTTGAGTTTCTGTTCGACGACGAGTATACTCGTCTTGAGTTTCTATTCGATGACGAGCTCCGATTGAACGATAAATATATGGAAACAAATAAAATAAATCTTGGAAAGTTATGTTATGTTATACAACAGTATTTCGATAAATAATTTCGGTTAAAAAATATTTCGATTTGCAAAGTAAAATAAATCTTGGAAAACACTCACAACGAGACAAAAGCCTTTTAATTACAGTGTCCAATACGTTGTTAATGAAACTAGCAAAGAAAGGTTCGTCAGGTTAGATGAAGAGTATTTATATTTGAAAGTGATCTAGATGGTTGTACGAATTAGACAATTAGAATAGAACGTTGAGTTCAGCTGGGTCGAGTAATTAGAACAATGCTTAATTGTTAATCACGAGTGGGACGTACCTAATAACGATGTAATCACGCAGAATACAACAGGTTTGATGAATTTGTAGTACCAAGCGGTCGTGCGAGAGGAATTGAATAAAACAGCTGGACAGGTTCCTCCATTATTGGCGCAACAAAGCGTGCTTCGACCGCTCATCGGATCGTCCTCATAATCAGATTATTCGATCTTTTGTAGGACCGTAGATCAGACACTCAACGTTCTTCCTCTCAGCTTTGTCGAATCGAGTTTTGTTAGGTTGTCCGATAAACGAGCTAACTTCCGGCACAATGGATCTCGATTTTTCATCAAACTTCGTTAAATCTAATCGAGCGATGTCTTGGTCATCTGTGACTCACTTTGCAGATGTTATTGCGATCGTTCAGAGCTGAGAAAATTAATCATTTCTGCCTATTTTGGGGATAAGATTACTGATTGGCATAATAGCAGTCCGTTAAACCAATGTCGGCTTATGCTGAAGATGGACAGCTATTATGACCTCGGATATCTTATTTAAAAGACCAGAAAATATATAGTAATAAATATTTTTACTCATTTCATTGGCACGAAAGCTTTTTCTTTAAAAAAAATCATAGATAAAGAAATAATATTTTACAAAAGCATTTTAGCGATAACTCTGTCAAAGATTATTGATTTAGTTCTGTATAAAAAATTAATTCTTCAGCCACGAGGTACAAAGATAAATTTTAAGAAATGTTTAAATTATTTAATTCTCTTGTCCCATAAATAAATACCAGGTTCGGTTATTATTAACGTATTGAAGTATATTTTCTGTCTAGATACATGAGCAATTACAGACGCACAGTGATCAACTAACTATACAGGGTGGTCCACTAGAAACGAAAGCCAGTTGCTTCAGGTCACTGACCTTCTTCTGGAACTTCCAGTTTTTTTTTCAAGCTCGATATCACCTCAAGGACGCGTGAAGAAATTGTCACTAGACACGTTTCTCCAACTAACAAACGACTGTCCTTGAGTTAATTAACGGGTGAACAAAATATATTTTGTGCATTATATCGAAGTGTCCCGCTTCTACCGAATCTCCCTGTAGAATTAACAATTAATTAAAATGATCTTTCTCTTTCGGCATCATGGAACTATTCGTTGACATAATATAGAATAATTAAAAAATTTATATACAGAAAATAATGCTGCTTAATATGTTCCTTAATAATATTTACATATGTAACAAATCATTAGGGCTCATAAACTCTGTAAAACATTTAACGAACCATTTCTATGAATTTAAAAAAATTATATCTTTTCAAGGTAGTTATAATTTTGCAGAAATCAATGATAAATGTTTTTAACCAAGTTAGAAACGTGCCGTTCTAATTAACATTGTAATTACTAGCTATTTATATTAGATGCGATGGAAAGATCATCACTGATCTCACAGAAGTATATAGCATCAAAAATATAAAAAAAAATTGATACATAAAGATTTGATGGATCTAGCCACGGCTGCTGTAAAGCTGTCGAAAGCGTATTGATCTATGCATATTCTGTTTTCATCGTTTACAGGGTGATCCTTCAACTCACGACCAGAAAAATGTTATTTAAACATTTAAACTACCTTGATAAACCAATTCTGGATTGTCCATTTAGTTTATCGCAACAAGTGGCATAAAGAATATATTTTATTACTTTAAAGAAAGAAGATCGAATTAAACAAATTTTGCTTTTCTAGAGGCAGAAACCTTGTGCAATGTTACAAACAATATTTGAAGTATCTATGTACATTGATATCGAGATCCTTTCCTAATTTGTGCTGCAAACCGAAGATATCATAAACTTACATTTAGAATTTTCATTAACTTTTCATGAAGAATGGTTCACGGTGAATTTTCTTTCAGTATAATTTCTGACTGAATAGTTTAAAACAGCAATTTCATTTGCAAACTAATAGATTGCCTGCAGCAGCGTAGTTCAACATTATTGAAAAGGAAATCATCCGGTTTCTGTCAGGCCTACCATTTATTTGTGCTCATTCTTCAAATTGTACTAAATTCTTTGTGTCCAAAAGACTAAACTTTTTCATTTTTACTGTAGAGAATAATATTAGCTTTTTGTCATTTTAAACCACTCATAGAAAAAAGCAACGATCAGCAATTACGACAAAGGACCACCCTATTAGCGTTCGTTAATAAAATAACGTTCATTAGCGTGAGGTTATTAGTCGCACTATGTACAGGAAGTGACGTGGTCTTTGAACATTCATTCGTCGTCACTGAATCTTCTTAGGGTGCTACGTATTCGTACGCTGAGTCGACTTTCAAAATCATAGTCTGTGTACTCGTTGAGGGCTTTTAACAACATCGTTCTTCCCTCCTCGACGTTCTAAAACAATGCAGAAAATAACAGTTGTTAGTCGGCGTTAAAATAGTTGTTCAATGAACTAACACACACTAAACAATCAGCATATACAAATCTATGTGACTAGTTTAGTATTTCATTGAAAAAATAAATTTTACCAAATTTTCTTAGAACCTGATTATTGTCACTTTTACATTGTCCATTATTGAGCGTCACTGATTATTTGATATTGTTAATAAGAATAGTTAAAAATGAAGTCTCAAACGATATATTTTTCCGCAGCAGGTTCAATTGCAAATTGACACAACTTTTGATTGCTTACATTAGTGATGCAAAGAGCGCTGCCAAGCTCGTACAGCGCAAAGGCGCTAATATGTTGGTCATACATATCATTGGACGGACTGCGTCGTCTCAGGCAATTGCGGTAGCTTTCGATCGACGCTTCTTTGTCACCGAGATAAGAATGGGCTGCACCCTCGATCAAGTCGGCGAGCCCAACCATTGGCTCCTCGGTTCGGTTACCCTGACATTCTGAAAGGAAATCATTGTTTCCAGATTAGTATTTTTGCATGATTGCAAAAGCACTTTTCTGCATCTAATAAATTTGCATCTAATAAATCATAATTTTTGCATCTTGCAACTTTACATTTTTACAAGATTCTCACAACTTTACATCTTAACAAGACTCTTGCAACTTCACATTTTTACAAGACCACGTTACATTTTTACAATATTTCAAGCCCTTTAAAGTTTCACATTTTTTTAACAAGACTCTTACCACTTTACAATCTTGACATTTTTACAAGACCTTTACAGTTTTACAATATTACAAACCCTTTAAAATGTCACATTTTTTAACAAGACTGTAACAATTTCACAATTATATAAGACATTCACAGTTTTACATTTTGACAAGACTTGTTCGACTTTACAATTTTTATTTTAGAACAGAGCTCTGTTTTGTAACATTGTCGGTTTACCTTCGCTAATTTTATTCTGTCTAAGGGTGGGTAGCTTTATTCGTATCAGTATTTAAAGGTCTGAATAACATGGAAAAGGAAAGTTCATTCAGTATTTTCGATCATTCTAATTAGCTATGAATTATTCTCTGGGTTTGATCCAGCTCTGCATCAAGGAAAAAAATATTTGCAGTGTCATCATAATTAGTATATTTTCTGTCATTCTATAACAATGATTAAGGTGAACAGTTTGTATGCGATAATTGAATCTAGACTCGTAGAAACAGATTCTTCAAGGAACATTGTTCTTTCTCGTGATTATTAAACAAATTTTCTAGGAATAATTTCTAAGTAATTATCAAAAGGAATTAAAAGTTTTAATTACCCAGAAGTACTCTACGCAGCGAATCCGAAGTACAGGACGGCATAGCGTTCCACAAGTATAGCAGTTCGTAGACAAGTAATCTGTAATACAACACCGTGTAGGGTTGCCCAGTTTCTTGGTCCTCGAGTTTAGACGAGCGGCGCTGAATGAACAATCCTAACTGCGTTTCACGGTTTCTCTGCTTGGCGAAGTAACGAATTTTCTGATAGTTCATCGCCAAGTTGTCCAAATTGCCAATAGCACCACAGCAAACTGCAATTACAAGTGAATTTGTTATACAAATAATCGACCGTAGTCTTCAATTTACTGTGCTCGCGTTCCCTTAATTATTTAACAACTTATATTACACGAGCAACAAAAATATATTACAATTTCAGACATTTCTACATTCAGAGAGAGAGAGCATTGCACAATATTTAGGAATTAAATGCGTGCCAAGTGTGTATAATATTTATGACATTGTTTGATCAATGAGAAAGATGTAGATTTTGAAATCACCGAGTTTTTTATTTTTCATGCCCAGAATTTGCAACTAAAAAATCTGAAAAAATTCATCAATATGCGACTGCATGTCTGAAGTGAGTAGGATTTTTTTCAGAATTTTCAGTCCCCGAAAAATTGTTTTTCTTCGAATTTTCCTTGCAACTACCCCTGCGGGCCTACAAAGTTGCAACTCGTTTGTACGGCAATTATAAAACAACCGACTGCTTGTCGACATAACGACGGCTATAAGTTAACAATAAGCATTGCTATACCTGCTCCCAAGTAAGCGTAGAAGCTCTTCGACCACCTGGACTCGTAGCATAATTGCGACAGCGACGGATAGGCTTTGTCATAGTTGAAACGAATGAGGTAGCACCAGGCCATCTCGTGCAGACAAAGTAGCTTCACTTCCCTTTGATTCGAAACTTCGACCGCCTTCTTGTAGGCCTCGAGGGCACCGGCAACGTTCGACTAAATAAACAAAATGTTCGAAAACATGAATAATAATAAACGAAAAACATTAACCATTATAACGATAAATATTGCTTGAGATAATCCAAGTTCGAAGAATCTCGATTAGGAGAGCATCTTCGAGAGCGATTTTCCTTACCTCGAGCCTTTCGATTCGACCTGCGAAGAAAAGGAAAAGCGCGGAGTCGCTGAATTCTGGATGGCACTCGGCGATTAATTGTTTCGCGGCGCTGACACCTGCTCGGAGATTATTCCCATCGAGACCAAAGAATGGACGGACGATCGTGTGGTACCAGAGCAAGGACAAACTGTAATTAACGAAATTTTATAGTGTTTATACAGTGAATAATTGCAGAATTTATTCTATAATATTATCTTCTCGAATTTTCACTGGAATTCATATAATTATTTATAATAAAATTGATATAATAATACATATAATATTATAATAATAATATATATAATATTATAATAATAATATATATAATACAATAAATAGAATAGAATATAACTATTACATTATAGAAGTCTGAAACCTGGTCGAAATAATAAATTGTAACAATTGTAATACAACTATTTATGAATATTATAAAATGATACAATTTATTATTTCAATCACGGTTTTAGACTTTCACAATATAATAATTATATTATATATATAATAATGTAGTCTAATATTAATTATATATTATACATGAATTATAAATTAATATATTATTAATTATATTATTTATTGTATAAATATGCAATATAATCATTTATAATAATGAATATAATACACATGTAGTACTATTATTCATGAATTATTTCAAGGTAAGCCTAGCATCGTCCGATAAATCGAAGATGATTGACAGTCGTCCAAGCTGACTCGACCATGACATTTCTTATACTTATGCTAGAAATGACAGAAGGTCTTACGTCGCCAACGGAGCTCGCATGTCCTCGCTGAGACGAGCGTTCTTCAAGGCAGCGAGGCTCGCCTCTCTGTCACCCTCGAAGCCAAGAAGATGGCTCACCTTCACCAAAGACGGTGGCAGCAAGCTGACGCATAATTGGTAGATACCGTAACCGAAGTTCACTGCTGACATCAATCGGGACACCTCAGACGGTGCCACGAACCTGATGACAATATCATCTTCGTTGGTATCGATCATTATTACGAACAATATTTGATATTATGAAGCTGCAAACGTTGTAGTAACTTCCAAAAAAATATATAAATAACATATAAATATACATAGAAGTAATATACTAATATACTAATATATATAATAATATATAATAATATAAAAATATAAAATATATATAATTATAATCTATATACTAATATAGAATAAAAATCTATAAATATAATCTAATATACTAATATATATATATATATATATATATATATATATATATATATATATATATATATAAATAATACCAAATAATACCAAATAATACTAAATAATACCAATAATACCAATTCCGTAGACAAATTATGAAACAGTGAATTAATCAAATTTTGCTGATCGATGCTCCAATTAAAGAGAAGCTATCCAAGGTAATTACGGTGTCTGCTGTTCATAGTTGATGCCAGTGAGCGAGAAAAGCATCGACAGAGAACTTCGCAGGCTCGACGGCGACGACACCGGTGTTAGATTGTTCGCGGAATCGTTGCAGGACGATATGGACAATTCCGACGATCCTTGACTCCGAGGGCTGTGCAACGAGTACGTGGAGTCGATGGACGAAGGTGTGCTGCATCTTGTGTGAACGCCTGCTGAAAAATTGCATTTTATCAAAAGGCATCGTGAAAGACGCTTCTCCGCCATTTCAAAGCTTGCAACTTCTGCATTTTTCCAACAAGATCGATGCTAACAAGGTAAATAACTTTCTCATTCATCCCCTATTCATTTCTGTACAAGATAAATATTTTTTATCAAGCGCAACAAATATTTATTTTCTTCTAAAAAGATAACTGAACAGTTGCTTCAAGAAGAAATACTATTTCATTACTCATTTAAATATTATTTAACAGCGCAAAGGAACCACTGCGAATGAACTGTTCAGACTAATATTCCCCCCAACCAGACTGCGACCTTGAGAAGTGTCAGCTTTTCCAACTGAACGTGCAAGCAAAGAGAGTAATTGATTTCCGCAGATGGTTCTCCCCTCAGAAAACTGCGATCTAAAGAGCGCACTGTCAAAGGAATCGAGGGTGCTCCAACGTGGAACAATGTGAGAGCGCATACCAGAGGGCTTTCTGCCAAACGTGTGTTGATATAGCTGCCAGATCTGCGAATGTGCATACTGATAGACCTTCCAAGCTTTACGTAACGTCCAGCCACCGCGGACGTAACCGGTCAATTCTTGCTGCAACAATGTTAATATCGCTCTGCAGAACTTGGAGTCCGCCAGGACAATCTGTCGCTCCAGTCTGTTCACGTAATCAGTCTGCAATAATCGTTATCACCATGATTATTTGTTGCCGTTTGCTTCGCGCAAATTTCGTATTTTTACAATTATTAATAATGATTAATCGTCGATTGTATCGATTAGTTCTTAGTCGAGCTCCGCTATTCTTCGGAGCGTTCCCGATTTTTTGATATTTTCAGAATCGAGGAATCAGATTTCTTGAGGATAATTATTCTACAGAGTCGTCTTAGGCGACAGTATATTTGCTATAGTTTGACAGGTGAATTCTGAAAATTGAAAACGCGATACAGTAATTTCTCCCGGAAATGCCGAATTTCGGGTTACTGTGAATTTCCCTGTGCTAGTCCTACGTCTATGCGATTTATCGCTACGTCGATGCTAAAGGTCGACGAAGTCGGTTAAGGTTATTTTTGATATATTTATTATATTAATTATATATTTTGTTATATTTTATTATTTGATGCGGCTCGCCACGCGATTCCTGGAAGAATTGCCTTCGAATCGTGTCACGTGGCCTCCGAATTGCCTTTCTAATGTAGCGGTCTTTTGTTCTCAATAAACTNGCCTTCGAATCGTGGCACGTGGGCTCCGAATCGACGAAACAAAGTAGCAATTTCTTTTTGCTACAGTAATTTCTCCCGGAAATGCCGAATTTCGGGTTACTGTGAATTTCCCTGTGCTAGTCCTACGTCTATGCGATTTATCGCTACGTCGATGCTAAAGGTCGACGAAGTCGGTTAAGGTTATTTTTGATATATTTATTATATTAATTATATATTTTGTTATATTTTATTATTTGATGCGGCTCGCCACGCGATTCCTGGAAGAATTGCCTTCGAATCGTGTCACGTGGCCTCCGAATTGCCTTTCTAATGTAGCGGTCTTTTGTTCTCAATAAACTCGAAGAAAATGAAGAGTGTGTGGCGCTTTTGCAACATTTTTTCCCGACACGGTACGCTATTCTCGTCTATGACAGTTTATTTATAAAAATAGTTCATTGATGAATTTTATGTTACCGGGACTCTTCTTATAAATACGCGGAAGATCGTTTCATAGAAATCGCAAGGTGTTTTATACAAAACAGTTTATACAAAACTATTTTTTCGATAAATCGGCTATTGTCTCACCTTGCAATAATTTCGTATTAAACAAATCAATTCATCAATTAACGTTTAATATCTACTTTTTGCGTTTACATAGACTGTTGTATAAATTCGATTACTGTAGACATTTTCCGATAAATATCGTCGAAGTCATTCGTGAAATATTTTGCAATATTTTTTGTTCAGCCTTTAAATGGGAAAATATCGAAAAATCAGGAGGCCCATGAATAAATCAGCCTGTATCACGAGCTATATTAAACAAATATAATTACTCCTGTTTCTTCCGTTCTGAAGACTTGACTCTTCACAGACTTGAGCCATCCTATGTCCATCGCGCACTCCCTTTCCATGCTTTTCAGCAGTTGTATGGCCGCGTCGAGATAACCATCCTCGAATGTCATTAATGCATTCTAAAAATTATCGACTTTACGTCACCGAATCGCCGTGAGACATTTCTTTTCGACTGCGACTGCAGCCTTATTAGGTATTTCAATGAATCTATGTACAAAGTAGCTTTGTAAGCTTATCAACAATTCAGTGAAAAAGGCAGTTTACAAACATTCATACAGCTGTTAGTTATTTGATATACGTTGATGCTGATTTTACATCTTTTTTATTCAACGGTGTCGCTATTTCGACCTTCAACGGAATTAACAATTAACAAAAATAAAACTTCCCTAAATCTTTGATGGAATTAATTAACAATAAGACAGTGCTGTACCTATAAATTAAAAAATATGAATTTGTGTAAGTACAAACATTAATAAATATAATAAACCGGTGAGTAGCGATATAAATAGTCGGGAATATATCGATGAATAATTCTGGGAAGAATTGAGAAAGTGCAAAATGAAAGATTTAAATAAATTTACGATTCGAGACCGATTGCGGTTATTTATAAGAACCGTGACGAACATGTTTTCTTATCTGACGTCGGCAATACTGAAATGGCCTATATTTTCTAAATCAGGACAGACATTTAAATAGCCCCTTAGTCAATATGTTGAGCCGCCTACGGTGACACGCGATCCAGGCCTTCCTACATTTAACATTTTACTCGAACAAAGCCATGTAAAGCAATGTCTCCCGTCTTGATCAAAAATACATGCCGCGCACATTTGCATACAAGCACACGTGCATACGTGAGTGCGTCAGACGTGGCACAGCAATACAAATTCAATTTGAGTACATTGAGTATTCGCGGTTTTCTCCGCGTTTCTTATGAAATCGATTATGAAAAGTGCAAAACTGCAAAATTACACGAAACAAAACGATGTTTTTATGACAAATAAAAATTGTCTGAATCCATTGTACGATGTACCGGAATTGTAATCGTGACGATGGTAATTTCAGTCGGTTGAAAATGCAACAGTGTTCTCTAATTATTCTAATAATTTTATTTTTATTCGTTCGATCTATTCGTTTTTAGTCTAGTTACAAAATACAAAATACTAGAATTGTAAAATGACGTTAGAAACTAAGAAAATACTAGTAGAATTATGATCTCATAAAATTAAAAATATTAGAAAAATTGTAATACACAATTGCAACAGTAGAAAATATTGGAAGAATTGTAAAATATTATTATAAAACACGAAATATTAGAAGAATTTTTAAATATCATAAGAAATCCACTAAGACGCGAGATCGATGTCCACAGTTGACTCTTATTTATTTATAATATAATCGAGATAGAAAACTTTGCATAAAGTGATTCACTATTCAATCGCTCTTGACGCAGTGGTCAAAGTTACATGCTCCACCCTGCTAACTGCGGTTTTCGTGGCCTTGAAACCTTCGTATTGCCACCCAAATTCAGAAACTTCGTGCTTTAGCAACAGAAATTTGGCAACAACTATTTCAACCATTCTGTCACCTTGCAAAAATTGTTCAACGATTCCCTCCTAAATAAATAATTATTAAAGAATAACTAAAATTGCTGCCACCGTTGAATAATTTCTTAATTCTTGATTTTTCAAGAATTAAGTTATGTCGTTGAAGTATTAACAAAAATAATTAAAAGTAATTAAATGTTAATTAATTAATACCAAGTAATAAGTATTAACACGATAACAGGAACTTGTAGAAAACAAAGAGACAATAGAAATCTAAAAAACAAGAGAAAAATAACGTAAGCATGATCTCACCGACATACCATGAATGAAACGAAGCAGCGGCCGGCTCGAACGTGGAAGCTATTAGGGTATTTGCTAAACAGAGCCTTGGCCTCCTCTGTTTTGTTGTTCAGAAACAGGGAAATCCCTTCTCTGGCGATCCGCCATTCCTGCACCTCCTCAGGTTTCTTCTCCATGGCGAAACCGATCTTTTTTATTGTCCAATTTCAATGAGCTATTGTATGGGGTGCACTGCGGTGTTTGCCACGTGAGGGTGCGTCAGGTGGCAGACATCTCGCTCACACTGTCAACAACAATGTCAGTGCTTCCGCTCCGGGGAAGTCGACGCTGACGTCGATTTAACACATTTTTCGAATTCGATCCAAAACGAATCGTTAAAACTCGATAACTACAGAAAATTCTCGTCCGGTGTGTTAAACGAGTTCCACACAAATTGTCGAACGGCAAGAAATTCAACAGATTTTTCAGACAGTTCACAGTCACTTGCAAATCAAATCGGCGAAACGTGATAATTTTGTAAAATTCTAAAAATCGTAACGAAGGTCGTACGAATTATCAAGCGGAGTAAAAATGTCTAGTATATTCTAGTTTTGCAACGAACAATATGTATAAGCCGACGTCGACTTAACAAATTATTTAGACACTTTCCAGTTAATTACAAAATCAACTTGACAAAAACACGATAATTTTGTGAAATTCTCTTCGGGAACAGAGCAAACGAAGACAAACAAGTACAAATTGTTCAACAAAATAAAACTGTTCAGTATATTTGAATGTTGCAGTGAACAATGAATAAACAGATTTTGCAGATTCTTCTTTCTCTAGTCCGGATTAAATAAATGAAACGCAACAACTGTTCGAGCGTCTCCCAAGAAAAGTCATAACAAAACTAGTAATAACGTCAGTACATTATTTTTCTGCGACGAATAACAAAGTCGACGTAGCACCTTCTTAAAAAATAATCGTAGAGATCAGTCTGTTTCTGGGTTAATTAGCGAGTAACAGCGACGTTTTTCTATCACAGTCCTCGTCGGCGCTTGTCAAAGCACTGTCAGCCGAGCTGCGGTGGCAGTGTCATCACCGTGGACAGGGGTACAAGTGGCGATGCTTTTGTGCCGCACAATAGGCAGATAATGCCGGCGAAGACATTAGTCGTCGTCCGGGAAAACGGTCCGCAAACGAGCAGGAACCTGTACCGCAGCGAAACCACTTTCGGCGGATATTAATTAACCGCGGACGATAATTAATCGGTAACTGCCGTCATCATACAATACGTTCGGCTCCGGAAGAAGCACGTAAGCACGCTCCGGAATTCATCGATCCGACGCACTCGAATTTCATTTATTTATGGTTCAATTAATCAATTACTTTCGGTGCAACGAGGTGGTTTTTTAAATCGGGGAACCTCGACGCCAGAGTCACGTGTTTCTGTTTTCTGAACGTTTCGGACACTGTCAGGAAAAGCCGCACCTTGCCACCACCGGGTCGAGTTAGGCTTTAATTAGGGTGCAGAGGAAAAAGGATGCTAGGTGCATAGGAGAGCTTGAATATGCGGATTAAACGGAGCCTGTTCACTATGGTGCCACGAATTGACTGAATCCTTTCGGCGTAGCGCAATGCTGCTGCCACCACCTCGGCTTTCCAGGTGTACGTGTATACACATGGATTATGTGCGTATATATATACTATTGATTTTACGGGTATATACAGCGACAGCCCACGTTCGCCGGCGAGTTCGTTTCGTAACCGGGCGAACTCTGCCGGAATTATAGCAAAATTAATAAGTGATAACGCTATTAACATTTGTGAAATTTAGTTGAAAAATGATAGAGTTCGAGGAAGTGGGGTTTTGATGAATCTGTGTTGCTTATATTTACGTTTCCAATGAAATTTGTTCGTTTCTCTTCACTGTCGCAACTAATATTGTATCTTCAAAAACAACGTGGAAGTATATCTTGTAAAAATAAATTAAACTATTTATTTCGGTAGAAAAGTCAATTATAATTGCTTTTGCAATGAAAGCAATACACTAGTCAATAAATAAATTTCAATTGGACCGATTTCCTATTATATTAACATTTTCTCCGGGTCAGAGACGGCGGTATTCCTAAATGGAATGTTATATAAATTCTAGACCCTCGAATTTCTTATCTTCTATCCTAGCGTCTTGTAGTATCGTAGCACCTTTAATTGTAAAAGCCGTAATGTACGTGGCAGTTTGTCCTAGATATTCTTCCGTTTTAAGCGCGACGATTATCATGTCACCGGAACCCGGCAGAAACTTGAAGCTTGAGAAGCCTCTTATTGATACGAAATTGCGTATCTGAGTGACCTGTAAATCATTGTTCCGTGAATACTGTTTCTACGCTGCATTTCTATAGTAGGATTAATTACTTCAATTATTAAAATAAAAATTAACTAGAACCTCGATATCAGTGAAATTCTCGTCCGTTTTTAGCAGTACATTACAACTCATTGTCTCATCTTTAGCGCCATTGTACTGTTCTTGTGAACACCTTCTTGGTAAGAAGAACCAACTTTTATGTATGTTGCTCCAGACTCCGGATTCGTGAATCATATAGCCTGTATAATACGAACAATTAATTCTGGCATTCGTGCGAACTATATACAGCATTTAATGGAAGTGATCACATGCCTGGAAATTCTATGTTGATTGCTTGCCTCAGACGTTTATAATTCATATCCCAGTTCGACGAGTATATTTCGCCACGAGGAGACACTACTTTTATCCACAGGGGATCGTTGTGTTCAAATATTCCTGAATCGGTAGTCCATTCCTTTCCACTGCTGCCGACATATAGATGTTCGTCCTTGACTGTTGCCCACTCTGTTTTAAATCCTGTAAATATCAAATCAAATATTAAATAAAACATCAACGAAGAAAACAACAAATACATCATTCGACAGCATACCTTTTTTACTCTTCCCATTGCCATCCATTAATATTAACCATGGATAAGCTTCTGCACCCTCGATGACGTATACTACTCCAGTACGGTCGTCAAAAGCGAGTAACCGCCCATCGTATACAAGCAATTCAGACAATTCCATGCCTCGTCCTTTCATTGTCAACGATGTTGTCAACATGCTTGCCTTGTCATCCCAAACGATGGAGACGTACGTAGTGCTAGGATTCCAAAAGAGACTTCCAGTTTTCATAAGGCTGTACCACACGTTCTTTCTGTCCAAGATTTTGGAGTCATGATCGAGATCACTTACTATGGCTATTCTATACGTGATACCCATTACCGTCTCAATGGGGGTTGACAAGGGATACGTTTTATTGTACTTGTGGTAGCGACACTGCGTGTACAGCTGATCGGACGACGACCTTACCCTCAACAATGGAAAACAGAGCAGAAACATAGGAATACTTAATAATAGGAGAATTAGAGCCAAATACTGGCTTTGAATGCGGAACGTGCTGTTCGCGACTCTGTACACATGCGGTGCACTTAATGCTTGCCTCCAGTCACGTAAATTAGACATGTTATTTATGCTATTCCTCCTCATCCGTATCATTCTATGATGTCATCACCACTGTGAAAACGAGAATTTCGCCCGGACATAACCTAACATTTTTATCTGTCACGCTTGTCAACGACGAAAGGGAATAACAGACGACTGCGCGCTGCGCCATCTGAATCGAAATTCAAATCGCGCCAAAAATAAAATCACGAGAAATCGCACGTGCAACTTTTAAAAAATTCTTTACACCCTGAAAATAAAATGCTCTACAGATTTTTGCGATCGGGTGGTACATTACATTTCAGATTACAGTAACAAAGTTACTGTAAGTAAGTTCCATCAAAGTTCGGAAACGTAAAAAAAGGAATTAAAAAAGATTTCAATCATAAGAGGTAATTAATTTTACAGAGCTGTTACGCGATGATTATAATGGAACGATATCTATGATAAAATATTATTATCCGTCGTTATCCTCGTCTGAAATATTTTTTGGAATCCACGACGATTCTAGGTGCGCGCGACATATGGACAGTTTTCTAATACGGCCCCTTTTCCCATTACAGTGATCTCTACCCTTTGCAGCTGCGTCTATTATTCCGTCTCTACTCGACTTTCGTAGTCAATTTACCCGAAACTCCAAAAGGGTGCGAACGCGTCGCAGACGAAAAGTCAAACGGCGCCTAAACCGATTCACACCGTTACCGCGGGCGCGATGAACATGCGTCGATTAATCGCGGCAAGTAATCGACAACATTCCGGCGGTGGAACATTTCCAAGAAATCCATCGATAGCATTACGTAATGTTATTTTAAGCCCGCACGCGATCATTAAAGGAACGGTTTTAGTGCCGGCTCGATACCGCTCGGCGAGACCGGCCCGAACGTGTCCGCACGATGAACATTGGGTCGAACTATTCGTGCCGGAAAGACAGCGATTCGTCTCGTGTCAATAGCTTGCATCGGCCTCGCATATTCTTGAACGTTGTTGGGGTTGAACGAACGAGTCTGGGGTGAAACGAATCGAGGGGGGGGTGGAAAACGGGGGTGCGAGGGTGGGT